CCCACACACACTCACACGCATGCACACAAACACACACATACACACGCACCTCCAGGATGCCGCCGGCTGGCCCCATGATGAGCGTCTGAAACACGTCCGCATGCCCCGCCCCTGCCGCCGCCACCGCCGCGCAGGGGGCGCACAGCGCGCGCTGCGGAGCGAGCAGCTCAACAATGGCCAGGTGGCCGCGCGCGGCCGCGACGGCCAGGGGGTCTTTCTCCGGGTTGGGTGGCACTGGGGGGGCATCCTTCTTTGGCTTGGTGCTCTCGTACAGCTTTGTCAGCGTGGAGGCCGCCTCGTCAGACGCCATCAGCAGCCTCGCAACGCGCGTGTGGCCGCCGCGGGCGGCGTTGAACAGCGCGCCGAGCCAGCCGGCGGACTGGAGCTTGCCGCTGGACGCGCTGACGTTGCAGGCGCGCTGCAGGCGTCGTACGATCTCGTTGTGGCCGTACCTGGATTGGATTTTGAATAATCAGGATTTGAATGTGTGACGTAATTGTCAGCTGGATAACAACTGGGTCTGTTTGCGTTTCTTGCTCTTCACAATGGCACTAGTTGGCCGCCCTGCATCATCAATCATATGGGAATGTGGCCTCATCACATGATGTGATCGGGCAATGAAGCATGGGCAGCGCCATCCCTCACATGGTAGCCTTGATGAGCGCTGCTGGGCAGGGGTCTTTGGCCAGGGCTGGGTACGTGTCGAGGATGAAGTCGACGATTTCGGCTTTTCCCTCCTCGGCCGCGACCTGGACGGTGTGGTGGTCAACATGCATCCAAATCCAGACTGGTGCCGTCAGTGGCGTCAACGGGCGCTGATGCAAGGCAGTCGTGCTCGCATGAGCGCAGCATTGCCCGGCTGCACCGCCGATTGGAGGTCACGTGAACCAAATCCCGACAAAGTATGCAGGAGGACGCAACAGATACACAGGTACTTTCCCACCTTGAGGGCGTTCTCCACAGCTTCCTCCAGCTCCTCCTCGTCCTCCTGCACTGTCGGCTGCTCCAGCAGATGGCGTAGGGAGTCCACCACACCCACTGATGAGGCAAGCTTAATCAGCTCCTGCGGGGTATGCGTGTGTGTCATGTGTGTGTGTGTGTGGGTGTTGCCTATGTGTTTGTGCAGCGTCAGTTAAGGGTCTTGCCTGCTGCTCAACCACCTGCTGATGACCAGGCAGTGATCTGCAAGCAAAGCAGCGGGGAGACAGGACAACCAATAAGCAAGCACCAAAGCAGCGATGATGGGTGGCCGAAGCATCCAGACTTTCAAGGCTGGCGTGAGCCTGGGAGCAGGCTGCTGGCGGGCCGCACCTGAGCGTTCTGCCAGGTGACGGTGTAGCCGCTGGAGAACAGCAGCTCAAGCACCAAGGGGTGGCCCGTGGACACCGCCTCAGACACGTAGTCGCCTCGCCAGTCGTGCACAGTGGGGCGGTTGGAGACGGGGTGGCGGATCTCCTGCGGCGGCGGGGACGTGTGCACGCACCCGTGTTGAGCTGGCACGGGAGCCGAGGCCGGCAGCGGCCTTGGCTTGTCAGGGGACGCCTACCAATCCAGGGCCACTTGCAACTGCCCGCCAGCTCAGGCGCCCCGTGCGCGCGAAGCGACCGAGGGTATCTCGCCGCACACCTTGAACGCGCCCTCCTCGACCAGCAGCCGCAGCACGGTCTGATTGCCAACGGCGCAGGCAGCCTGCATCGCTGACTTCAGGTCTGGGGGTTGCCCCTTGGCCTTGTTACGAGCAGCCTCAAGGAGGGCCTGTGGAAGCGAAACACCACTCGAGTATGTCAGCCCGGAAGCAAGATTATTTAACTGCGGGGTGTCTTGCTGGAATCAGCAAAACGTGCCTCTGCTTGGCTAATTCTTCTCATCTGCACTTGACCGATTGCTGCCCACAGGCGCCGCTTGCCTGCACAGCCCTGCCAGCCAGAGCCAGCAGGAATCCCCGAGGCTACAGCGGACCTTCATCATATCGGCGTTCTGGTTCTTGGCCGCGTAGGCCAGCGCGCTCGAGCCAATGGCGAAACCTCTCTTCAGCAGGAGCTCAAGCATGGCAGTGTCGCCGTTGGCGGCTGCGCACACGTGGGTGGGGGCCGCAGCGTTTGGTTACTCCAGCAGTCCGCCAGCGGCCTCGAGTGGGGTGGATTGTGCTGAGGGTCAAGGCTACGTCGACCGGATTCTGCCGTCATTGGTTGCCGGCGGCGTGGATGCCTGGGCTGCCCTTGTGACCACCCACGGGTCCACGCAAAAAAGTCCGCCCTGGAGTACCCCATGAACGCGCGCGGCACGCACATATGCATGCGCAGGTGCGTGTGCGCATGCGTGGGTGCGTGTGCGCATGCGTGCGCGCGCACACGTGCGCGCGTGCGTGTGTGTGTGTGTGTGTGTGTGTGCAGCATGCACGCACGCTGCCACTTGTGTGCAAATGCGCATGCACCAAGACTGCCCACCTGCAAGGTCAACCACATGTCCCTCCTCGTAGTCAGCGTCGTAACCCTTGTCGAGCAGAGCCTGCCCATGACGTGGTTATCGGGCACGACAAGGTCGTGTGTGACGAGGGTTTCTACAATGTGCAGATGCGCATGTGCTTGCAGCGAACACCACTTCAGGGGGCACAACATGTAGTAGTGTGTAGTGTGCCTGCACATCTACCTGCCTGACAGTCCCTGTCTCAGCAGCTCGCACCGCTGCGTCGTGTAGCCTGCTGGCGGCATTTCCTCTCGACACCAGCACGCAGGCATGACCGCACTCCCGACAGCCAGATTCAAAGAATGCGTCGCATTGAAGGGAAGGGCGGCCACGGAATTTTTCCCTTTGAAGCACTCACCTTCATAACCCCCAGCTGCCCCTTCTTGGCGGCGATCCACACGGCGGCGTCCTTGACTCGCACAAAGCCGTGCTCGTCTGGCACCACATTGCGGCTGGTGTTGAGGCCAGGGTTCTCTAGCAGCCGCTGCACCTCCGGGACGTCCCCGGCGGCGACCGCCCTGTACAGCGACGCCTCAAGGGCCGGGTCGCCGGAGGGGCAGTAGCCACCCTCGCAGCCCGCGTAGGGGCGGTTGGCGTAGGGGTTCATCGTTGGGGGCTCCTCGCCGGCCGAAGCGCCGGCGGCGGCGAGGAGGAGGGCGAACGCGACGAGTGACGCTACGGAGCCGGGTCGCTGGCCTCGGCGCCCGGCCCGGTCAAGGGCGCAGGCCGGCCGGCCGACGCTCATTGGTGAAAGGGTCGCCCAAGCTGAACAGCGCGGCGCGCGTCGGGGCGTCCACGCTCGAGCGCGGTGCGCGCCTGCTGCCGAAATGCGGGCTGTAAGGTGTGGGTTACACCAGGCCTTGGAGATGTCCTGGAGGATCTGCGCCGCTTCGGCGCCCCAATGAGCGTTGCTTGTGCCAGACGAGAAGGCACGGGACACCGCGGCTTCTATGAAGATCAGGTGGGGACAGGATTGCGCATTCAAGGGTTGATGGAGAGCCCCTGTACGGCCTATTTACCTTGTATGCTGCTCTTGGCTACAGCGTTGCTGCTCAAAGGTGACTTGCTGCCGCTCCTGGTGAGTGCATGTGTCACCTGCCGTGTTTGTGACTCAGGAGCTCTGTCTAAGCACGGAAGACTTGAATAATGTCACGTTAATGATTTGATACGCAGCGCGGGTGCAGCCTTCACAACAATCTCAGCCAACATCGACGAGATCGGTTGGGCTGTATTTGCGCGATCAGAGAGCTCAAATGGGGTAAAGGCGCATCGTAGGTGCCATGCGAGTGCCCCTGGATGAGGCCAACGTGGCCCTGGGCCTCCATGCGCATGGGCAGCAGCTGCAACAGCATGACAGCGGCATGCCACCCACTTCGCCGCTCCTCGCGGCGCTGCACCCAAATCGCGAGCTGCTCGTCCTCGCACGAGGCGCTGTGCTATCGGTCTTGCCTGTGCAGCCCACATCAGGCGACGAGGGCGGCAGCGATGGCGACAGCGACGCCCCACGCGGGCCGCCCAGCAGCAATGTGCCTCATCGCCGCAGCGTCTCCGACACTGGCGTCGGCACGAGGCCCGCGGCCGCCGCCGCGCCGTCAACCTCGTACACTCTGCGCAGCAAGGAGGCCGTCACCGCGCTCGCCTGGCTGTGCGTGCTGACGGGCAGCCGGCAGCTGGGCGCGGCGTCGCTGACCGTGCGGCCGCCCGAGCTAGCAGATCTGTTGGAGTGCGATTGCCTGCTTGTTGGCACGCAGGACGGTTCCCTAGAGCTTCATGAGCCCAGCGGGCGCCTGATCTTCCGGCAGCGGCTGCATGCGGGCCCGGTGCAGCAGATCTGCGTGCGGCCGTGCGCGACGGGTGAGGCCGGACTGCGGCGTGCGCGTGCGTGGATGACGATTAGGGCATTGCAAACTGGTGTGCGTGCGCCGCGGCCGACGGCGCATCACGCAAATAGATTACTTGTCAGAGGTATGCATTGGCGCAGTGCCTGCCACCTGCACGAGCTGCGGCCAGGATCCATCGCAGGCGGTCGGCCCCGGCCACCACCTCGGCCGCTTCCCTCTGCACCTGGGTGCGCACAGTCATCGCCGTGCGCACCTGCACAACTTCACAGGCCTGCGACAGGACGACCCGACTGAGGACATCACAGTGGCATACCTCGATGCCCTGGTGCGCCTGCCAGTTCTAGAGCTGCGCACGCACCTCAAGCTGCTGCACCTCAGCCGGCAGAGCGGAGGTGGGCCTGGGCGGAGGGGGGCGGGCGGGTTTCGGAGGGTTGCCGCGCCCTGGCGGCAGCGGCGGGAACGCTGGCTGCAGCAGTGGATGCGCTGGACGGATGGCTTTAAATGAATTTTGATCTGCTGGAGCCGTTGGACCTGAAACAGCACCTGCATGCCGACTCGACGACGAAATGCAGGCGCCGCGAGCACACCGCCTCTCAACTACCACCGCTGGGAGCTCCCCGCTGGCTTCGGCCCGCGCAGCGGCGCCGTGTGCCTGGGCCAGCGCCCGCGCGGCCTCGACGCGCTGCTGTCCGGCGCCGCCAGGGGCGCCAGCAGCAGGGCGGCAGACCACAAGCTCCTCATTGCCACGGGTGGGTGGCTGCACGGTCCCCACACCAACCAGCAACACTGACATGTGACCCCAAGGGAACAGTATTCATTGCTGCTTGTTGGCGGAGGTACAGTAGCTGTGTAGAGGAGGCGCTTGCGCTCACCCCATCTGAAGCAGCATGATGGCGAAGACTGCGCGTGCTTGCACACTGGTCAATGTGGATGGCATTCTATTGCACTCAATAACGCCGGCCCTGTGGACAACAATGGATTTGCATCCAGGCGGCACGAAGCCGCCGCTGGCGGGCGTGGAGGTCGAGGAGCACCCGCAGCGCAGCGCCCTGGCGCGGCTCGCGGGGGTCGCGGGGTCTGTCACCTACGCGGCAGCGGGCGCGGCGTACGGGGCGGCGTCCAAGGCGGTGACGCTCGGGCCTAGCCTTCTGTCTTCAGGTGGGGCGGCAAACACGGCACAACCCCCCTGCACCGAGCAAGTGCTCGAGCTTGGGTTGGGGGGCGTCGATTTCGAGCACGTCCCAGCTGGGGACACCACATTTGCCCCTGCCTGCGGGCCGACTTTCCTTGTTGCTGCACGGCACGTCCAATGTCATCTGTTCGCACGGCTCACCTGTACGCGTGCTGGCCACCCCTGAGATCGACAACTTTGCAGCATATCCAATTAACTTTTGACCAGATACCGTCACCCCTGCCTTTCAGGTGTCCGCTCCCTCACCAGCTGGGTCGCCGGCTCCCCCCGCGACGCCCAGCGCGCGGCTGCTGTGCCCACGTACGACCTGCAAGGCGCGCCCAAGCCGGAAGCTTCCCTGCCCTGGCGGCCATTGCACGACGACCCCAGGAAGCTTGGGCCCCTGGTTCCCGCGCCCGCGGGGGCCCTGCTGGCAGCGGCGGACAACCTGGGGCGCGTGCTGCTGGTCAACGGCGCAAACATGGCGGTCCTGCGGATGTGGAAGGTGGGCGGCTGCACCCGCCCCCCCCCCCCTCGCAGGGCTCCTCCTGGGCGTCGTGTGCCTGTCTGTCTGCGACGCCTCTCAGTATGCGCAGTGTTGGTCTCTCCTCCTGGTGCCGCTGCCGGGTCGCATGGGGCAAACGGTTGACCTGCTAGTCAAACTTGGGTTCACAGGCCTGCCTCCAGCACCCAGTGGTCACCCCGGTGCTGTGCATGGGTCCAATTAATGCAATTAGTGCCCGGTCCTCCTGCCTTACCTGCTTCCCCACCCCTCTTATCCGACCGCGCCCTAACGCCCCCCATCCCCCGCGCGCAGGGCTACCGTGACGCGCAGTGCGGCTGGGCGCTGCCGCCCGACGGCCACCCCTGGGCGCACCACGGGCTGCTGCTCGTGCTGCACGCGCCGCGGCGGGACCTGATAGAGGTCTGGGCGCCCCGCTCCGGCGCCCGCGTCGCCGCCGCGCGCGCGGAGGGCGCCTGCCGCCTGCTGCCCGTCGCGGCGCCGTGCGGCGGGTGGCGGAACGAGCTCGCGGGGCGGTGGGCGGCGCGCGGCGCGCCGAGCACGGTGGTGCTGCGGCTGGCGGGGAGGCGGCGGGGGCGCATGTGGGACGTCTTGGACCTTGCCTGGAGGTGACGTCATGAGGAGGGCCACGAGCGCGATCTGATTGGCCTCCTCGTGTTCGTGCCATTTTTTAGTAGCATGTCTGTTTTCCCAAGGCTCCTCTGGATCATCTGTTGTGTGGCGCCTTTCTTGCGTGCTGCATGCTGCCCCCCCCCCTACGGTCCTGTCATTTATAGCAAGCACAGTAGGCAGCATTTGCGGGTTTGATAGAACTCAAGCATGTCCAGAAAGTAAACGACAGCAGGTCTGGCACCGCGATGAGTATAACGACTGCGTGCATATGCCGGTTCTCAGGGCTCGCATCTACACATGATTCCTGGCAGTGTGGCCGCTCCCCCTTGGGAGAGAGGTAGGCATGGCAGGGAGGGTTGCTGCAAGTGCGACAGCATGATGTTTCCCTGTGTCGTGGCTGCAGCAGGAGGACGATGCTACACTCGATGGTGGGCTAGGG